GTTCAGCTTTGAACTGGCCAAACATTTTTTTATTACCTCATAAAAATTTACCTTGACTTGCAGTCGACACAACCTTAAATGGGTAGTTGGTAGAGTCACTGGAAGCAAGGGGCCTACAACTCACGCAGGCCACCTTCACTTCCAAAGAGGGTACCTGGTATCTAAAGGCTAGGTCGACCTGCGAGCCAAGTTCATTTGAGGGGAAAAAAATGTGTGATTAGTTCAGATTTGAGCCACCGACGTTCAGATCTGAAGCAAGAATCCAGCTACTACACTACGGCGGCTCCTAAACAAATATGTGCTGGATGAAAATCTTAACACTTGGTTGTTGTTGTTTTTTTAAGCGGTGTGTGTGGGAGGAGAGGGTGGTGGGGGGGGGGGGGGCGGATTCTGCACTTCCTGTTGAAGATGCGTACCAGGTTCTTATGAGAATGTCTTGCTTGCTATCCTGTTGTTGAATCCGCATACATAACCTGACCAATGCAGTCAAAAGGGATAAGACTGGAGAACAATAATATCAGGTAAATGATAAACCAGCATAGAACCGATATCCATCCTAATTCTTTGTTGCATTAAAAAAAAGAGTTACTTTATCATAGAAGAAAGCACCAAATATGCATCCTTAAGAAGCTTTAACTTAAAAGGACATTTTCTACACCTTTGGGCGTATAGGGCATATAGGGCTAGACCTACATTTTATAGACAAATAGGCACAAGATGGGTGATGTGGTCAGCATCACGCCGGCTGCTTTTACTTCCCGGGACTGTACCCACTCAAGGCTAGATTGACCTGGGGGCCCAGGTCATTTTTGAAAAAAGTCCGGCTCCGCCAGGGAGCGAACCCACGACCTTCAGATCCGCTGGCGAGCGTCTAGCCGCTTTGCCACGGCGGCTCCCAAACATGCATCCTTTTCACTGAAATTCCCAGATTAGTTTGTTTCTAGTTACCGCCCGTGTGGGTTCCGGGGTTGAGGGGAATACAAGAAAAGAGCCACTGTCTTCCCAAAAAGCATGTCGTAGGAGTCCACTAATCAGAAGTTTCCTTTGAAGTCGGAGTACATCGGTCCGAGCGACAAGGAACAACCAACTGCACCCAAATAAGCTAGTAAAACGGATGTACACGCAATACTCGGGCCTGGCACAAAGCCAAAGTCCAAATAGACGAACAACCAGGACTTTTCTCCAAAGCTTGCATCCGGTGACAAAAAAAAAAAAAAAAAAACACAGGAAGACGCTTCTATTTCTCTTTTTTTTTTTTTTTTTAGTATCCAGAAACAGAAACAATGTTCAGTTATAGACTTTTATTCACTGAATCAAATATATCACTGACATTGCATTTTTTTCGTCCTCGTGGTCGTTATGCCTGGCTGATTTCTGATGGCCTGGCTAATTCTCCCGCACACTGCTTTGATCCATCCATATATCTCGAATCACACATCCATCTCCTACTAAAGCCTTGTACCTGGTATTAGTACATGTTGAAAATGGCAATCAGGAAACATTCAGATCTTCTCTCAAACAATTACAGGTGTTCACAATTTTTCCATTCTCTTCAGGCGTTCTCTCACATACGACCTCTCGCCACCAGGTCCAAACTTCAACTGTCTTACTACTGTCTATCGGTTCATGTTTTTCGTTCCAGTCTCACGCTTTTCTTGTATCCCCAATTCGCTCACCATGGGATACCCACTTATCTCGTTTTTGTCTTGTATCACTGGTCTTCTGACCTTGTCCTCCCCATCGGGAACTCTCTGGGATTTCCCCGGGAATTCATACCATTACATTATTGTTCGTCCACCACAAGAGATGATGACCACTCTTTCTTTCATCCGTCAAAAAGCTAAATTTGTCTTAGTCTTAGTCGAAGTTTCAAAATCACTGCAGTCGGGTTTCCCCATACTTGCTCCGTTTATGTGCCAAGGGAAATCAAATGACATATTCCTCACTGTCTCATTTAAAAAACTGGTGAACAAACAATTAGTCTCGCAAGAATCCACACTCAGTAAATGCGTATTCAGTTGCTAGAAATGCAGTTTATCGTTTATGGAAGTATTCGCGCACAAATATTGAATGTTGAATTAAGAATCGACACCACAGCACTCGAGACACTCCCATAAGCGCTCCGTTCCTATCTTCAACAGCAAGCTAAGAATTACAATTCTTAAGGCACCAGTAACTGTGTGACTGTTTATCCATCTCATCCTTTCCCTGAGTGTTGAGCGTCGGTCAGATCCCATAGTAATTACACGCAGTGCCATTCTTTTCAGACTGTAATGATCTATCTGCGCTTCCGCACTGTTCACTCTGTCAAAAAGGGCCCACACAACATCTAGCTTGTCATACATCAGTTCACCATCAAGTGGTGCATAGCCGGCCAGTCTACTGCCTGCTCATTTCCTAACACACCGGCATGACCTGCAGACGATATCTGAAGGACGCTAACTACCTGGGACCTTTAAAGTGATGCTTGCTACTCTGCAAGAATCATGCCTGTCTTTACCATTCTCAACATGTTATGTAAGTCAGTTACAGTCACGGCATGTGTGTACAGCTGATTCGTAAGTTAGCGGAATCGGGCATGATAAGTTGGTTACTATACACACGTAGAATTATTACGTATTTCACCAGCTCACACGTAAACCGGCTACCCGCCATATTGAAAGCCACGACATGAATCTCTGCACACATGAAAGGCATTCCACATGGAAACAAACAACTCACAGGGCTGCAGCCAAGCACCAAACTCAATACCTTGGACAGCGAAACTGCAGACTAACCTTCTTATGAGGAAAGAGCATTAGCAAAGCGCTGTCCGAAGCAAAAATCATTCCAAGCTTAACATTCTGCCAAGCCTATCCTCCAATTTAGCCTGAAGTGAAGCTGCAGTTGAAACAATTGAGTGAATCCGAAGATGATTTCTAATCCCTCTAGGGGCCCTGAAGGATACAGGACAATCGAGGCTCGGAACAGTATCTGTAGGGAAAGGTGTGTTACATGGATCTCTCTTGGATGTCTTCGCTGTTCAACTGACAATTTTCTTTTTCTATATCACGTTTTGTTGTTCGCCTTACAGTGCGGTCTGGTGTCATTGTTCATTTCAAAGTCTTAAGAGATGTTTATAGCGTGTCCCTTGAGAGAATGAAAGAATGTTTTGCGCGATGAATTGGTTTAAAATGCAGATGAGTTGCTGAACGTCATCGACCTCGCTCTCTTGCTATTGTCCATTTTAGTTAACAGGAGTCTAGAATCCTATGTCCAATGCCCCATCGGCAAAGAAATGGTCTTTACCCTATTTTACTTTAATGTATGCATATATTTAAGAGTCACAATATCCACCATGCTTGCCGACAATCCTGTTAGCAATGGCTCCAAATGACCAAATAGTGTTAGTTAGTTAGTTAGTTAGTTAGTTAGTTAGTTAGTTAGTTAGTTAGTTAGTTAGTTAGTTAGTTAGTTAGTTAGTTAGTTAGTTAGTTAGTTAGTTAGTTGGGTTATCCTCATTGCACTCCGGACATGTCCATAGGTGCTCAGATCCTCCCCTCAGTGTGAACCCCAACGTCCGATGGCTAATAGTACCAGTTCTATGTTGATTAACAAGTCTTCTGGCGTGTCTGGTGTGCGTCTCGTTTTTTGCTGTACCGATCTTAATTCCCAAGTCTGCCATTCTGGCGAGTGATGTGGATTCACTGCCACCAAAGTCCTCTATCCTTCCCATTTCTCTGAGGGCATTGATAATATCAGCATGATCCATAGGCTGACCGGCGGTAGTGATAGCGGATCCAGCCAACCTGTCAGCTCTTTCATTTCCATCGACGCCTGCGTGTCCCAGAACAAAAATAAAAAATAGTGTTGGAAGGGTAATGTTTTTTTTCCATTGCAGCTACTTCTGTCTTCTCTTCAAGTCCCGGCAAACGTTATCATATGTTCGACTATTTCACTGTCCTGTCATAAAATACATTTTAACGTATTCATTCAGTTTCTCAACACTCGTGTTTCGTTACCATTTATTAAATTACCATTTCCTCACTTATATTAGGGCTGTGTTAAGCAGATAGGGTAACTTACAATGATTGATGCAAAAACTGCAATGTATTAGTATTCATTGGCAAATAATTTGATTGTAACTTTTGGCTATATATGTATATGTGTGTGTTTTTCGATAAGATCCTTAGTTATATTTAGTTATTATAATTCTATCGGAACTGTCTTGTAAGATTATTGCAAGTCTGTCTTTAAAACACAACTTTTGCATGGCGAGAAAACTTGCCCCATCGTCTGATTCTAAATTCTTCTAAGAATCTTGGCCGTCATAAAATATAGAATAGAGTAAATTCACAAACAAGCAGCCAAATAGTCGACAGAGTAGATGATTTAACCGGGTAATCTATTTTACTGTAGAGGTATTTAAACTAATAACTCTATCTTATAAAGATACTTCTAAATTTATGTCTAAATTTTGTACCCATTTTGAAGTACAAGAAAATATTCCCGCTAGAGTTGATTGTCTCGAGGAGAAAGACAAACGACCATGAACTCCAGTAAAGATTTGAATACCTCCCGTGGGTGCTGAATTCAGGCTCATAGAATGTTAAAATACTTAAAACAACTGCAGGCGTGTAACAGACCATTAGAATACTGGCAATTAGAACAACTATGGTCACTGTAGTTCTGTCTCTCTTAGATAAGTAGTCCTTCCTCTGGATCTGAGCTGAAGCACGGCAGACAGATGTTTCTCGCAGCTTTATAACTAAAACTACAGTCAAAAACATAACTGTAGCGACAGGTAAAATAAGGAAAATAGCGTGCGAAAAGAAAACAAATTTACGTACCACGTCGGTGCTATCTGTCAAACCTATCCTTAGAATGGTTCTGTTTGTTTCCTTGTTGACCTCCCAGTAAATTTTTGTATATACTGAGATAGGACAACCTGTCAGAAACGTTCCAAGACACACACACACGACTATCAGTCTAGCACCGTTAGCAGTAATTATCTGTTTGACAGTCTGTGGAAACACGACACATAGACATCTCTCTGCTGTAATAAATGCGGTAATCATGCATGTATCTCGAGCGAAACCTTCCCTAGGGTAAGCTATAGTCATAAATTGTATATCTTCGTAGTTTATAGGTAGCAGTTGATCATTTTGAAAGACCAGAGCAGCTAGTATCGCCCATGCTATTTGACATATCAGTGTAGCCATATCAAAAACAGCCAATGAAAAAAAGCCAATATTGATTGCAGTGTGCAAACCTTGTCGGTAAAATACAAGCATATTAATTACATTAGAGATTATACCAAATGCAGAAATAAATCCGCTCAAGAAAGTGATGTTCACAAGCTCTATGATCTCTCGATCGCTGTCTGTAACGCGTTGCATCCAGCTTGATGTTCCATTTCCGTGATCTTCCAGAGAAGTGTCTGCCATCATATCTGAAAGTTTCACAAATGTAATTTTATAAGCTGTGTTTTGCAAACCCTACGTTACTGTACCAAACACTCATGTTTCATGCTATTTCGTTCAATCATTCACCAACACAATACTTAAACTTGTTATGTACGAAGCAATATGATATTTAAAGTAGAGGATCCTTTTCCACACCTTCAGGTGTATAAGGTATAAAGTGTTGGGTCTATTATAGAACTACCAGGACTCGCTGCTGATTGGCCAACATCACGCCAGTCGTCTTTACATCCCAGGACTTCACCTTGTACCTTTTAGGGGGTCGACTTGGGAGCCAAGCTCATTTGTTTTTGAAGTTTGATGTCACTTACTTGTTCAATTCTGTTTAGAACACTATTCTTACATTTTAGGTTACTCTGTAGTGTAACCTTACACTTGTACGAGTTTTCTGGGGTTTGTACCTTGAGGATTATTATCTGAAAAGTGACGCTTTGCACTTTGTGTCACTGGGTGTTACTCGGTCAGTGTAGTCATAATTAGGTTCAACGTCCTTCACTATCTATTTTAGCCTTTACCCAAACAATACGCTGTGTGAGCTTAGGGTTACTATTTAACAGATAGGGGCTTCACTATAACCACACTTTTGAACTTGGTCTCTGTGATTTGTAACTGGTGATTATCATCCTGATAGTGACGCATGGCACTTTATGTCACTGGGCGTAAATCGCTCGTTTGGTCCTAATAAGTTTCAACTTCACTCACTCAGTCATCCATATTAGCAATAGAACTGCTATATGGCTATACGGTTGAACTGGGGTGCTGGAATTTACATGTTGAATTAGGAATTGACATCTCAGCACTGGGGTCACCTCAATAAGAGCTCCGTTTCCATCTTCAGCAGAAAGAGAAGGTTTACATTTCGATGCCACCAGTAACAGTTTAAATTTATATCCGTTTCCTCCTTCATGGCAGTGCATTCTCCCCAGACCGTAACGCCCTATCTGCGCCTCCGCACTCTTCATTCGTTCTCAAAGGGGGCATCCACAATATTTTGCTTGTCATTCATCAATTCACCACCAAGTGGTGCATATTTTTACGTGTTTTATCCTCATATCTGAGATGTAAATAGACATCATGGCAGACCGGGCATACCTATAGGTACACCATCTCACGCAGCAATCTCACAAAGTGTAGATGCTAAATGCTCCGGTGGCACCCTGTTTATAAATGCATCGTTTTCTTTATGTGAATAGCAAAAATATAAATAATTTTTTTGAGACTAACCCCTTGATTACCAGCCCGAACGTCTTCAGATCGAACCAGTACAGTATGCATTTTTTTTTTATACTTGACTTACACTTTCCGATCGACCCAGTTTTAAATGAGAACAAAGTAGCTTCTCCCTTTAACACTTTCATCGGTGTTCCACTGTTAATACTTTGAGTCCGATGCTGTTTGACGTTCTTTGCCATGTGCATCTCCTTTCTGGCTGTGAGAGCATGTACTCCCGATTCTCGCATTCTTAGCAGCTATGAGGACTGGCTGCTCTTAAAAAATACAAATTCAGCATTTTGTATCTTGATCCATGTTACGACCATCTAAAACTGACAGAGAGGCAGTAGTCTGCCGGATATTTTATTGCTAGGATGCCATGGGACAAAGATAAAGGTAGCCTCACGTACAGTGGAGTTTTGTAAATGATTCAGTCCATTGTCTGCGCATAGAGCGCTTCGACCAGCCGGATATGTCCAGAATCCCCCCAGAACACATGCGTATGAATAAGCTTATGCTTCTGGCCATATAAAAGATTTATGTCAACGCCTTTACCTCCATTGTCATGCCGAGAGAAGGCACCAGAAGGTCTGGTTTTACAGTGTTCTCCCAACAACTGCGCTGAAGTGATTATAGTACAGTAAGTGAAGTGGGAACACAGCTAAATCGCCCGTCCCCCTTTTTTTTCCTTTACTAGCTTGCCGATAAAGAAGTGTTTCGTAATATACAATGTGCCCAAGCACATGTAAATGGGATACGTAATTTCACTTTATAAATCAAATTAATCAATTAAACATACAGTCATGCATTACAAGTAAGTCTTTTCATTTGAAACACAGTGTCTCTCTGTCTCTTAAAGAGATTCATGTTTTGCGCTGTCTCACATGCTTGATATATTCTATAGTAATACATTTGAGGAATCATAGCAAAAATGACAGGCAATAAATTGTGCAATATATTGTAGCCTCACAGTTTAAATTCATTACTATAAAATATTGTATTACATATATTAAAATATTAAAACTAGTATGTATACGTGTCAGCATTAGAATAAGGCGATTTAATTGTGTTGCATCTATCTACATATAAATGATAGACTTGGTACATAATGTTGGGAAGCATTTTTTTTTTAAAATAACATTCTTTGGCTATCCCTGTACGACGACTGAGGTTTGCTTGACCTTACGTTTAGGATTTGCTCAGTTTATGTTCGCAAATTAAATGAACAACTGTTTTATTAGATATAAAGACAAACATATTGTTCGTCTTGTCTGTTTAAGCGACAATCATAATTTATTAGGTGTCATTGAAGTTGACTAGGAGCGACACAACTAATGTTAGCTGAGTGTAAACAAGAGCTTTTTTTTTTTTTTTTAATACACATGTGTATATTAATTATGACAGGAAACACATACTTGTCGTCTCAAGAGTACATTACACAGACAACGTCAAATGGCTAAGCGTGGTTTGCTAACACTACATAACGCCATCATATAATCTATGAAATTGTCTTACTTTAGACAGACAGACAGACACTGTGAAACGGCTGAGTGTTTTAGTGCCATCATATAATCTATGAAATTGCTAATTTATGTAACCCGAAACTGAAGTGTCACAATTATGTGAAGTAGTGCTATATTTTGCAACTGATGTCCCTGTTAAAAACTCTGTTAAATGTATAGCAGCGAATTAGAGAGGTGAGAATGACATTTCTCACGCTGGAGGCGAATCAATCATTTGATGGAGTATTCGTGTTTAATCGATCAAACATCACCAAGCAGACAATTCAGTCGACATAGAGCGTGAATTAGACACGAGCAACAATTTTACTTTAGTCTTTCAAACAATAAAATTAGGGTTGGGGTGATGGTGGGGTGGGGGTGGAGGGAGGGGGAACAGCCACATAATATTAGACAGTCAGTATGACAGATTAAACTGTGAAGAACAAAGGATGTCAAATGTGTATTTATTCTACATTTGAACATTCCGATCATTGTATATTGTGTCCCTTTTTTTTCAAAAGCGCGCGAATGAGAACTATTTAATAAAAATAACAATACAAATTATATGTTGTAATAATAATTACATAATATTTCTTGTTATACAATGATCAATGTGAGGTAAAGGTAAAGGTGAGATGTTCGGCTTCATTGCACTAGGTTTTATCCCATTTTGCGTCACTACGCTCCGCAGAACACCCTGCAGCCTTCCAAGAGCGTTGCACAGAGCACGACCTCCATAGCTCAGGAAATAGACAACCCCCCCCCCCTTACCCCCACCCACCCATATTACTGTTTCTTTTATTCACATTACAAATCCAATAATGATACTTCTTCGACTTTTCTCTACTCTTGCAACGCCTCGCGGTATCAGGACATAAAGAGATTTATGGAACAGAGTTTTCGTATTATAATAATGTTACTATCAGCGAGAAAGGCTGCAATAATTCAGTCTTTCTTTTGTCCATGTTTTGGTTCGTGCCTCTAGGTGTTGCAGATTCACTAAAAGATGATCGGTTTCCTACCAAGGGCTGACTCGGTTTCCTCAAGGCTTCAGTGACTCATTCAGGTATTATTCTTCTTGGTCCTTTCCTTCCTCTATGTGTTTTCACTTTCATTATTTACGCTCTCATTTTGCTGGAATCATTTAATTCATTCTCATTAAATAACCAAATTATTTCAGTTCTATTTTTCACTGAATTTAGCTACACGCGTTGTTCCAATAGTTCTTGTAGTTCCTCTGTTTCTCACATAACCTCTTCTAGTTCTATTTATGGCCTTTCTCAGACATCTCATTTCGCAGGTGGTTAGTTTTCTTTCGTGTTCTTTAGCCGAAGTCCAAGCCTGACATTAATAGTACAATTGTGATATGTCTAATCTGTTTTGGTATAGCAATGTGTTTAGAAATTGTGGTCAGTTGATTTTCGACATTGTCTGCTTCTTAAACTATTGTTTCAATCTCTCTATCTATTCTCCAATCATATGTAAAATCATACCTCCAGTGATGATTCTACGACCAGTGTTCTTTATTTTGTCCAATTTATGTAGGTTTGATTTGGCTGCAGTGAGATATGCTCCCATGTAATACTTCAGTTTGGGTCGTACGTATCATGTGTATACTTATCGTACAGTTTTGGCATCTGCGTTCCAGCTTGTTCTAGTAAGTTTCTTCATAAGTCTGTGCCTCAGGGTAGCTTTCCCTTGGGTGTCTTCAATGTTTTTAAATGTGAAAGATCATGACATGATAAAAATTTATGACGGTGTCAACAGACATATCACTTACAAAATTCCGTATATACATTGACTGTGCATACTGATGAAACCTGAAAATACATTTTAAAATGTATTTTTAAAAAAATGAGAAAAAAATCTTGAATTAATGCACTTAGGGAGCCACAGTGGTGTAGCGGCTATGCTCCGCTGCAGATCCTTTACCGTAGTGTTTCTCAACATTTTCACACCCGAGGCCAACCAAAACAGAGGAGCGTGTTTCACGAGCCACCGGACAGCTATTCAAAACATGAACAATATATATATATATACATAGGTAATTTGTTGAATTTGATGTCACAAAATTATAATTTTCAGCTAATGCAGAGTCTGCTGCTGCTTAGAGGTTACCAAATATATGGTTTGCAAGGGATTTCTGTACTTCTACCTGTTGTCTTTTCTTCGTTGACGTGTTAATCATACAGACTGCAGTCCTGACCTGACATAACTCGTTACGTGATTAGACAAAACATTTTGGCTGGCCACTTGAACTTTCGCCATGGCCGACCACTGTGCAGCTTTCTACCTGTTGAA